CTCAAGCAAGAACGTCACCTTCCCATGGAACCTTCTGAGCCCTGCGCAGGTGCCTGACAGGAGAGGGTGCTGGCGGGGTGGGGGGGGGGGCGTGGGAGAGGGAGAGAAATACCAGGCATTGGGTTTCAGGGGTCACCTGGTACCAGGGAATATTTCCTTGACTTCCAAGTCCTTCTAGAACCACCAGTGCAAGTGTAGTCATCATCACCTGGTCTATTACTGTGCTCAGTTCTATTACATGGGGAGATCTTGTATCCCCACTACAGAGAAGGAGCTGAAGCGTGTGCCATAAGGAGAAGTAACCATGGAGACCAAGAGGAAAGGAAGTCAGGTCATTCCATTCCTAGCTGGGTTCTGGGCTCCCTCCGACTCCTTCCCCTCCCTTCTCTGCAGGGAAGGGGGCACGCGTGGGAGAGGGGCCCAGGCCAGAAGTAAACACATCCGGCCATCAAGCTGGTCTCCGTGAGGTCATCGGGAAGATGACAGAGGACAGAAAGAGAACCAACCTTGCTATTATGCAGTCGGGTTATTTATATCACATCATCCGGCCTTAAGAAGTGAGCCCAGTAGAAGGAGATCTGGAGTCAAGTCAAGAGACTGAGCTTCAGATTTCGGCTTCTCAATGCCGGCAACCTTGCTGCGGGTGTTTGAGTGAAACTTCTGCTCTGAGCCTTCTCATCTACTAAAATGAGGCTGGTGAAGGGTTGGAGTGTTAATACCGCGGGTAAGGTGCTTGGCTGGCATGGTTGGGTTCAATCCCCAGTCTCCCACACAGATGCTCAAGAATGCCAGAAGTGATTCCTGAGTGCAGAGCCAAGAGTAATCCCTGAGCACCGCAGGCGTGACCCCCAATCAGCCCCCATCCAAAAAACTGAGGTTGATGGGACCCTTGGCATGGATTTCTCAGGAGTCTCAGTATCACTGCTCAAACCCTCAGGTGAATGCAGCAAGAATAGGGCAAGGAGCGGAGGGGCACCCTGCCGGACACCCCAGTATTCTGGTGGTTGCTGGGAAGCCAGAATCATAAGTGGACTGAGTGAAGGGCACGGACTTAGCTACTGCCGCTTCCAGTGACCGCCCCAGCCCAGATATCCACTGCCTGCAGACCCGAGCAGAGCCTGAATGTTTCAGGTGTGACCTGGGCCACAGCAGGCTCTGAGGGTGCAGGTGATGGGCCTGATTCATGCTGCAGGTGTAGGACCTGGCATGTTGCAGGTGTAGAGACTGGTCCTGTCCGTGGCAGGCTCTGAGCGGGGAGAGAGCATCGGGGCTTGGGCTGTGTCAGGTGAGCTCAGATGTGCTAACCTGCTTCAGTATCCCGGGAGGGCTGTGGCTTTGCTCAGGGCTGCTGCTGGCTATTAAGGGCTCAGATGTGGCAATGCCACTAAGGCTGCAGGCCTGCCTTGTCGGTAGAGAGGAATTTGGAAGGCTTTCTTTGTGGCAGACCTGAAGATTCTGCAATTCCCTCCAGGTATGTTGGGGTATTGTTCTCTGGGTGAATGATCCTGGGTCTCCAGTGTAAGGAATCAAGATGCAGGCCATCTAGCAGACATGGGGTTGGAATTCAGGTCCTGACCCTGCCTCCCGGGGCAGATCACTTCCTGTGTCTGAGTCTCCATTGCCACTACAGAGTGGGCTCTCCTTAGGGGAGTTGGAGGGCACAGGGGAGAGGCTGTGTGGGGTGTGAGGTGCACAGGCTATTCAGTGTGGCCGTGGGCACCTTGTCAGAATAAGCACCACAATGTGGTGGACAAGATCCTGTGAGCTGACTGCAGTCAGTGAAATCTGGGCTACAGGCTGGAAGGGACTTCTCGGAGCCCACAAAGCTTGTGCCAGCCATGCCTCATTTTATGTGCTTCCCAGATAAGTCTTTTTAATCCATTGGCGTGTGGCAACCCTGACTTGAGTTAGGCTGTTGGCATCCTTTCTCCCCAAGCAAGTGGTTTCTTCTTCCCTCTGGAACCCCACACTGAAGGCCTGCTCGGGGTTCCTGTAGAGACATAAAGCTACTGCAGTTACTAGGCTACAGTAGTGGGTTTCAAACCTTCTGAACGTTTGCAGACTGTCCTGGGAACTAGTGACTGGCAGCCTCGTTGCTAACCGAGAGGGCTAGAACTTTGCTATGCACTGGGAACTCAAAAATCCATGCGACGGGGTGGGAGATGTGTGCTGAAAGTAGATAAAGGACAAAACATGATGGCCTCTCAGCATCTGTAATCTGTATTGAAAACCTTAATACCCATAAGGAGAGAGAGAGAGAGAGAGAGAGAGAGAGAGAGAGAGAGAGAGAGAGAGAGAGAGAGAGAATAAGAAGGCAATTATCTGCCATAGAGATGGGGGAGGGGGTTGGAGGCGGGGAAGGGATACTGGGGACATTGGTGGTGGAAAATGTGCACGGGTGGAGGGATGGGTGTTCGATCATTGTATGACTGAAACTCAAACATGAAAGCTTTGTAACTGTCATGGTGGTTCAATTTTTAAAAAAATCCATGCAATCCAATTTCTTGGGACTGTCACTTCCTGGTGGGATTCACTGCTCTGAACTCACCTGTGTGTGAGAAGCTGGAAATCCGAGTGTCCTGGTGTCTGTCTCCCCCTTCAGCTATCCTGACAGACAGAGTTTCAACCTCTGTCCTGCAGATACACCCAGACCTCCCAAAGACAGCACTTCCTTAGCAGATAGGATATTTGCCAGTTCCTTCTGTACACTACTGCTTATCCAGGCCAATCGTTCACTTGCAGGCTCATCAATTGAGATCCCCTTTGAGGTTAATTTTCTGTCCTAATTCAGCTGTGGACAGATAGTGCCCAGCAAGAACAGGCTGGGCCTCTGGTTATTTTCTGAAGTCAGATGGGGATTTTCTAGCTGTGGCTGGGACTTGGGGCTATCCCCGCCTCTCACCCTACCTTCTGGGATACCTTATCGGAAAGATAAAAGTGTCATGGACTCCTTTGTCCCATGAGATGCTGGGTTTGGTGCCAGCCCAGGGGAGGACTGATTTTGTTGTGAGCTGACCCCTGCTGCCCTGCGTCTGTGGGAGCATCGCTTTCAGGAGACACGAGCTGAACCCCTTCCCCCCAACCCCACAGTCGTGCTGAGCATCAGGGGAAGTGAAAGGGCCCCCCACTCCCTGCTGAGTCCTTACCGAGCCCTCTCTGACTCCTGTCAGTGGTGAGACTAACTCGTTAAGGGCTCTGTCCCAAGAGCTTCCTGGGTGCCACCCCATTGAAGCCTTTGAAGAAGTAACCTCTATTCTTCCGCTTGGCCAGAAGCAAGCCACGCCATGAGCCATAGGGGAAAGTAATTTGGAGTAACTTGCAGGGCTCGGTGGCCATCAAACTGTGACTCTCACTAGCTCACGTCAAAATCGTTCATTAGGCAATTCTATTCTGAATGTTTTCCGTGTACAAAAAGTCATGGGGCACTTGTAATGTGTCAGTGACCAAAGCATGGATCCTTATAGAATTGGGATGCTTTCATCTTTGGTGGGGGAAGACAGATTATTTATTTGTAAATAATTTGTTATTATTTACAAATAAATAATTTAGTTTGTTCTGTAGCACTGTAGCACTGTCCTCCCACTGTTCATCGATTTGCTCGAGCAGGCACCAGTAACATCTCCGTTGTGAGACTTGTTGTTACTGTTTTTGGCATATCGAACACGCCATGGGGAGCTTGCCAGGCTCTGCCATGTGAGCAGGATACTCTCGGTAGCTTCTTGGACTCTCCGAGAGGGACTGAGTAATCAAACCCGGGTCGGCTACGTGCAAAGCAAACGCCCTACCCACTGTGCTATTGCTCCAGCCCAAATAATTTAGTTAGGAGGCACTAAATGCAATGAAATTAGAAAGGATGGGGCGAGGTGTGGGCGTCAGGAGTCCTGGATGCTTGAGGTGTGTACTGCAATTCTATTTTGTTACTATTGCTCTACCACTCTGTGCTCTGCAATTCTGTTTTTATTATTATTCATTCTGTTTGGGGGCCACACCCATGTGTGTTCAGGTTTACCCTTGGCTCTGCACTCAGGGATCACTCCTGGAGGGTTCAGGGACCCCATGGGGTGCTGGAGATGGAACCTGGGTCAGCTGCTTGCAGGCAAGTGCCCTACCCACTGTGCTACCTCTCTGGTCCAGTGTTGGTATTTTAAATAGGGTGAAGGGTCAGGGAGCTGATGCAAAGGACTGGAGCAAATGCCCTGCCTGCACTGGGCCTTGAATTTGATGCCAGACACTGCCTGACCCCCAAGGGCTACCAGTGAGGGCACTCCAGAGATAGAAGTATGGGAAATCAGGCGTGTGGATATCGCTAGGGGTGGTGGGTCTAACTATACCATGTTATGTCACATGTATTTTGCATATATTGCATTTCAAACGATATATTAATATATGTAACAACACATCAGTAGGGCTGGGGCTGGAGCGATAGCACAGCAGATAGGGCATTTGCCTTGCATGCGGCCGACCCAGGTTCGATTCTCCACATCCCATATGGTCTCCGGAGCACCACCAGGAGTAATTCCTGAGTGCAGAGCCAGGAGTACCCCCTGTGCATCACCGGGTATGACTCAAAAAAGCAAAATATATCAGCGGGGTGTAGTGCAGAGTTCTGAGTGCAGCTGGGGTGTGGACATGGTTAGGGGTACACATGGTTGGACAAACACAATCCCTCCATCCTCACCTTTCTTCTCTGTAATAGGGGTCACGCTCCCACAGTAATGGGGGCCACCAGGGCCACACCCAGCAGGACAGTGTTAGGGGTGGGGTGCCTGGGGAAGCAGGGATCGAACTTAGGGCCTCGTGCACACTAGGTATGTGCTCTAGCACCCAACCCAAACCCCCAGCCTACAAAGTTCCTTTTCCTCCTCCCTCCTCCTCCCGAGGTGGGAAGTGAGCACTTCCTGCCGAGGTGTCCCCAGCAGGCACCCGCAGCGTGTCCGTGTCGGGGCTGTGAGCAGGGAGGGACGCGGGTGCGCGGGGAAGCGGCCTCGCGGGGCCGGGAGGAGGCTTGACTGCCGCAGTGCGCGCCCCGCACCCCCGCGCGGGCCCGTGCGCCCCGAGGGCGGTGCACGCGCGCGCGCAGCCCGGGGCTATAAAAGGCTCGCCGCCTGCGGCCAGGAGAGCTTGCCGTCGCCGAGAAGCCAGCTCCTCTCGACATGGACCCCGAGACCTGCCCCTGCCCGACTGGTGAGCCCCCGCCCACGCCCGAGCCAACGCGCGTTCCCTTTGCGCAGAAACAACCCGAGCGCTGCCCGCTGCGTTCAAGGACACTGGGGGGCGCGGGGCGAGGTGGGGGAAGGGACGCCGGATTCCGTTTTGAACCCGTTTTGAACCCGGGTGGGCCGGGGCTGTATCCCAAAGGGCACTGAAGGATCCCACCCAGCCCTTGCTCCCCACCCTGAGCGTTACCTGATTAACCCTTTGTGGGGCTTCCCCTCTCCAGGCGGCACCTGTACCTGTACGGATTCCTGCAAGTGTGAGGGATGCAAATGCACATCCTGCAAGAAGAGTGAGTGTGGGGGGAGGGGGGCTCACTGCCCCGACCCTACCCCTCTCCTGGGAGGGGTGACCCGGAGACCACCTCTTCCTGGCAGAGGCATCTGGGGAGGCCCCACCCCAGGGATCTCCAGGGCCCCAGACAAGCTATGCTTGTAAATTCGGGGGTCACTGGCCCAGATAGAGAGGAAGACAGTGGCCCTGGTCCAAGCCCTCCTCTCCAAACCTCAGTGCCTGAGGGGCTGTGGGAGGTTGGGGGCCAGCTCTGGAATGGGGGTCCCTTGGTCCCTCTCAGGGCTCTGTGGATTCCCTGATTTGATCTTCCCCCAGTCTGAGTAATATCAGGAGGCAAGACCCAGCTTGGCTCCCCCAGGATCTCTGGGACAACCCTCCTCCTCGGTACTATGCTTTCTCTGCTCCCCCCAAATGTGGTCACCTTCAAGGCTCTTTTTCCCAAGTCCATCTACCCTGTGAGGCTTGTTCCGGAAAGCTGAGCACTGCCTCAGCACCACCCAGCCCCAGCCCCGGGGGGGGGGGGGGGGGGGGGGGGGGGGGCGGGGGGGGGGGCGGGGGGGGCGGGGGCCTCCCCCCACTCACAGCAGGCGCAGGGCCTGGCTACCACTGCCTCCCGACTCCAGCTCCATAGATGCTGAGTCAAAGCAGGTGGGAGGTGGGTGGGAGCACCGGGCTCCCCAGTCACCTGCCCCCCTCTGCCCACCCCCCAAAGCCTTTTTAACTCTTTCGGCTTCAGGGATCCCACTCAGGGACTCAGGCATGCACTTTATGTGCTCCACCTCGCACTCAGGGGCCCCCTTTCCTGCTGCCCTCCAGTGGGGTCCCAGGGCAGCCAGGCTCCCAGAGCCCCGTTTGGTTCCCAGGTTGCTGCTCCTGCTGCCCGGCCGAGTGTGAGAAATGCGCCCAGGACTGTGTGTGCAAAGGCTCAGAGGGCTCCAAGGCGGAGGCGGAGAAATGCAGCTGCTGCCAATGAGAGGCCCCGGGGGCCGGGGGTGAACAGCGCTGGGCCCCCCCGCACCGTAGGCCAGTGACAATAAATCCTGCGAATGGCACAGAGAAGGCCTGGTCTCTTCTTTGAGGGGGTTGAGGGGTGCAGAGGCAGGATCTGAGGGAAGCACCCGGTGGAAAAAGCCAGTCGCAGGGGGCTGGAATCCTAGTACAGTGGGAGGGCCTTTGCCTTGGACTGAGTTCTGACTCCGGCATCCCATAGGGTCCCCCCTGCACCGCCAGGAGTAATTCCTGAGTGCAGAGCCACGAGTAACTGAACCCCTTCCCAAAACGAAGTAACCCCTGAGCTAGGTTGTGAGTCTCTTTGGGACTGGGGTGGCTTCTGGGACTGTAGGACCCCACCACACACACACACACTCCCAGACCAATCATTCCCAGATCAATAGTCCCCCATCAGGACCCAGCTCATGCACCGAGGAGGAGAGAGCGCCTGGCAGCCTTGCCCATCTCAGCCTCGCTCTCTTTCTGCATCCTGTGGACCCGGAGAGGCTGCGGCACTGAATGCCCCGTCTCGTTGGGTCTCAGCAGCTAAGCAGAGTCAGTGCCTGTTCAGTACATGGACGGGAGACCAGTGGTCCTGAGGAAGCAAAGCTTCCACCACAGTCCCAAAGGTGCCTGGTTTCTGGATTTTTCTAGTGGCTCCCACAGACCTGCCTGTTTTCTGCTTCCCTAGTGTTTAGTGGCAGCCCAGGGGCCCCTCTTGGCCCACTCTCAGCCCCGTTTCCCAGGTCACCGCCCGGATTAGCCTGTCTCCCCGAAAAAGATTGTTCAGCTCCTTTTCAAATCTCCTCCGCTTGGCCAGTCGCCCCAGCTCCTTCCTCCAGAGGGAAGTAATGAGAGCCTTTCAGGAGGTTGGTCCTTCCTGGTGACAGAGAACACTCAACTCTGCCTGGGGGTGGGGAAGGAGACTTGGAGCTCTGGGGATAAAACTTGCGCAGTGTAAAGCTGGAGGGATAGAGGGCACACAGTCGGCCCCAGGTTCAACCCCCATCACCCCTTATGGCCCTCCAAACCTTGGCAGGAGTGATCTCTGAGCACAGAGCCAGGAGTCAGCCCTGAACAACGCTGGGTGTGGCCTGTCCAACATGACAACAACAAAAGCTGGAGGGATAGAGGTCACACAGTTGGCCCCAGGCAGACAAACCAAATAAAGGGCCTCGGTGAGAGTCGGCCATGCTGTGGGATGGGACCTCTCCCGCCCTTTTCCTCCAGTGAGGTTTTGCAGGACAGTTACTCCAATGCCCCCAGGACTCCTTGTTTCTTTGTTTAACCTTGAAAGACTGTTCTTAGGGAAAGCCAGGGCCGTTTTTGAAAAGGAAAGAGGAGAAGTGCTTACTGGCCTGACCGGCACTGTTCCTCCAGGACACTGGGTGAGCCAGAGAATAGATCAGCTGCACAGGGAGGCCCCAAACAGATCCTGTACAGGTGGGGACAGGAAACCATCCATCAGTGCTGGAAGATGCTCTGGCCAGCAAAGGTGCTGGAACAGAGGCCTGGACGCTTGAGGTACCTGCATCCCATATGGTCCCCTGAGCACCGCCAGGAGTAATTCCTGACTGCAGAGCCAGGAGTAACCCCTGTGCATCACCGGGTGTGACCCAAAAAAGCAAAAAATAAAAAAATAAAAGAAGTTGTGAGGGGACAAAGTTTATGGCATCCTGGTCAGGCCCTTAACTCTCACTATGCCAGTTATTTCACTTCCGGCCGGCCTTGTGTCCCAAATGGCATGGAGAGCAAAGCAAAATCACCTCCCACCCAATAGGCTGATCTCTCTTTTTTTTTTTTTTTTATTAGTGAGACACCATGAGGTACAGTTGTAGATTTACAAATTTTTGTGCTTGGATCTCGGTCATACCACGATCAAATACCCATCCCTCCACCAGTGCCCATTTTCCACCACCAGGATAATATCCCTCCCCCCCATCCTCCCATCCCCCCATCCCCCCCTGCCACTGTGGCAGGGCATTCCCCCCTGTTCTCTCTCTCCTCCTGGGCGCTGTGATCAGCCAAAGAGGCATTGAGTGGCGAACATGTTCAGTCCAGTCTACTTTCAACCTGCATCTCCCCTCCTGGGAGGATCCTCCAAACACCCTCCACTTGGTGTTCCCCTTTCTATCTGAATTGTCCTTTCCCCTAGAATACCCAGCTGGCCTCTAAGTTATGGAGTAATTCTCCTGGTGTTTAGGCTGATCTCTTACTCCATGCAGGTCGCTGTAGCAAAAGCACAGCTGGGGGTGCCGAGAGCATTCGTGTGTGTGTGTGTGTGTGTGTGTGTGTGTGTGTGTGTCTGGCAGTGCCAGAGGGTGGGCATTTGAGGTCAAGGTGACTATGTGGTGGGCTGAGGCCCCTCCTCCTGGTTGCAGCCTTCTTCACCCCCACTGGCCAGAGGGAACTGTGGAGCTTTGTGAGTCCTCCTACACCAGCACAATCCTCTGTAGGAGAGCTCCAGCTTCCTCCCCTCAGCACCCCAGAAGCCTCGGGAACACAAACAGTCAAACCTTCGCAAGCATCTGCGGTAAGAGAAAAGGCAGAAAATAGCAAGAGAGGCCGGAGCAATAGTACAGCAGGGAAGTCGTTTGTCTTGCACGCGGTGGCCAACCTGGGTCCAATACCTGGTACCCGATATGGTTCCCCGAGCACCACCAGGAGTAATTCCTGATTGCAGAGCCAGGAGCAACCTCTGAGCATTGCTGGGTATGACCCAAAAAGTAAAAAAGAAAAACAACAAAAAAAAGAAAATAGCAAGTGATGGGAGTTGGTGGACAGGGCCAAGGCCTGTTCCCCAGTGGCATAAACGTCGGCAAGAGCAGCCACCGAGACCTCGGGGGACAGATCTCCAGAGAAGGACTCACAGAACTGGGGGTGACGCAGTAATTCCTCTGGGTAGGGATCCCAAAAGCTTGAGCGCGGGATGGGGACACTGCTCATGTAGCCACAACTGTGTCCCGGGTCATGAAGCCAGAGGAGTGACGCTGACCGGGCCTGGCTGGGGAGTGACTCGATCTATCAGACGGGGTCTGTGCGACACGCGAGCTGGAGAGGGAGGGGACTCTGGCCAGGCTGCATGCAATGACACCTCCCCCCACAGGTATTACACTGAGTGAGATCAGCCCCTCTCAGAAGCCTGATCCTGGGCCCTTCCACTGACGTGCTTGTTTAATGGGTACAGTACCTCAGCTTAGCGAGATGAACGCGTTCTAGAGATCCATCACGTGACAATCTCAATATATTTGACTTTACCATCTGTACACTTGAAATGATGAAGACAGAGGGTGGGAGAGAAGGCTCCTTGGGCTCCAGTGCATGCCTTGCACGTAGGAGGCCTGAGCTGGACCCCTGGCATGGGATGGTCCCCTGGACACTGCCAGGAACCAACCCATGTACACCACACCCAAAAGAGTTCAGGGGCTACTCCCAGTTTTTTGCTGAGCAGGGGTCTCTCCTGGACCTGCTCAGACACCGTGTGGCGCTAGGGATCTCACCCAGGGCTCCTGCATGCAATACACTCAGATCTTTGAGTCACCTCCATGTCCCTAATTAAATCTCTTCACTTAATGAGTCAGAAAAGAGGGACAGACATAGAATGACTGCACTCATTTGTGGAATATAAAGTAACAGAATGGGAGACTAACACCCAAGAATAGTAGAGATGTATACCAGGAGGATTGCTCCATGGCTTGGAAGCCGGCCTCACATGCTGGGGAAAAAGGCAGTTCAGCTAGAGAAGGGACCACCAAGTAAAGGGTGCGAGGAGGGCCCGCTCGGGATGCGAGATGCGTGCGGAAAGTAGACAACAGACCAAATAATGACCATTCAATACCCCTATGCAAACCACAACACCCATAAAGAGAGAGATAGAGCAAAAGCGAATGCCCTCCCACAGAAGCGGGGTGGGGTGGAGAGGATGGGGTGGGGGTGGTGGGAGGGATGCTGGGACCATTGATGGTGGAAAATGGGCACTGGTGAAGGGATGGGTACTCGATCCTTGTATGACTGAAATGTAAGCATGAAAGTTTGTAAGTCTGTAACTACCCCACGGTGATTCATTAAAAAAAAATAGCACTGCACTGTAGGACTGTCCTCCCATTGTTCATCGATTTACTCAAGCCAACCCAGTAACATCTCCATCGTGAGACTTGTTTTAACTGTGTTTGGCATATCGAATATGTCACGGGTAGCTTGCCAGGCTTTAATGGTAAAAAAATCTCTTCACTTAAAAAAATAACATTAATGAGGCGAGAGAGAGAGAGAGAGAGAGAGAGAGAGAAAGAGAGAGAGAGAGAGAGAATAATGGGAAGGACGTTTGCTTTGCATGAGATGAACCCAGGTTTAATCCCCAGCATCCTATGGTCCTCTGAGCCCTGCCAGGAGTGATCTCTGAGTGCAGAAGCCAAGAGTAAGTCCTGAGCACAGCCAGAAGTGACCCCAAGCAACAACCACCAAAACATCAAATGGCAGAAGAAGTGGACATAGGTATGTGACATGGACTAAAATGTGTGTGCGCCCCCCCTCCCCAGGCCTGACCCTGAATTTGGGTATTTGAAATAGGGATGGTCAGGGAGACTGTGGGGGATTAAGAATGTTTGAAGTCTGGAGGGGCTGCACTAAAGGGGGTGGGGGCAGTGCTTGGTGACTGAGAAGGAAGTGGAGGCGAGGAGGGTAAGGTGGGAACTCCAGAGGGCAGCGACACTGACACCGGGGAAGAGCCACTCCCTCCTTCCCCTGTGCCCCACCAGGAGTGATCCTGGCAGGAGTCAGCCCTGAGCACAGCCGGGTGTGGACCCCCAAACAAAACAAAACAAAATCACTTCCGCCAGGCAGGTCTTGTCCCCAAGTTGCCCCCACGCCGACTACTGGCAGGTCTCAGTTGTCCTTATTCCTCTGCATTACTCAGCACCCTCCGGGATGGGCATGGGGCCAGGTGCCCCACCAGACTGCCCACACTGGGTACGGGGCATCAAGTAAACTAAGGTCACGGGCTGCTCTCCCTTGGGGCAGTTGCACGGTAGAGCAACTACGTGTGGCAGCCAGGGCCCGGGCAGCC